GGAATTATTTTTTAAAAATACAGTAGAAGCTGCAGTGATATGTAGAAGATATTTTCCACATCTGTAAATCTACCTTGTATTAAACATGACCCTGAACTTCAGCAAATCTGAAAAGCTCATTGTAAGCCACAAACCTCAATAGTATTGATATTTGGAGCAGTAAATCACACTAATAAAGAGTTCTACTATCCAGGCCAGTTTTTGAGAATATTGGGCATTGATTAGGATGTTCATTCATTGTCATAAGAATGTAGTTCCTCTTTCACTTTCAGTTTCTTTGTAATGTATAGAAGTTAATGTGCAGTAGTGTATTTGGCCCTGCAGATGTTTGAACTGTAATTCCCACAGTTCCTTATCCTCTGCTATACATGGTAGAGCTGATGAAAATTATCAGCAAAACACGCATGCAGAGCCAGTGTTCCCCACTTCTAATTGGGAATGTGGATCCTTGCTTGTTTCCTCTTTGTATAAGAATTTAGCATGGTTTAGGGTTCTTTTCCTTACCAGGAAATTTCTGGTACTCTTGACAGCTATTGCATCATCTGGAATGATATTTTTCATGAAATGGGCCCCCTTGCACAAAATTGACTGTTTTTTTCTGCAGAAATGCACAGTTCACCCAATTGTGCAAACTGCGTGACTTGCCCAGAATTAGTTGACCGCTTTGTTTAAGAATTTGAAGCATTGGATGGACAGTTACCATATTTCTTTAAAAAAATCATCCACTCCATGTGTACTTGCTATGTGTATGACTGTGCTTTGCTTCTCAAAGGGTAAGGACATTTTGCATAAATTACAGAGCCCTTAAGAAGAGGAAGAATCTGTTCTTTGTTTTGTTCTTTGCTGGTGATGAAATGCCTTGCTTGGTTTTAAGATTCTTTATTTAGAAGCCATGTCATGTTGAAAGTCTAAACTGGTGAGAATTAGACATTTTGTGAGTATTTTTGCCTTTTCTACTCCAGCCTCATTGAAAATTTCTGAATTAGAGGATGGTGCATCTCAATCAAAAGTTAGTGCTTACAGACAGACATGAGTTCTGTTATTAAGGGCTACCTACTTGCACTGTTCCTGCTGTGGATATATGTGGCATGTGTGGTTAAATGCACAGATTTAGGCTCTATAAATTATATGCATGTGAAATAAATAATGAAATACTACAAGGTAGTGACTTTTCTCACATTCTGTGTCTACTACTTCCATCTAGACATGGATGGGAAACTATTGAGCCTATAGGTATTTTGGCCTCCCCATCCTGTTGGATTCTTACAACTCATACTAGCCTTACGCAACATTTGAAAAAGCAAGGGATTGTGGAACTTCTAGACTAACACATCTGGACGACCAAGGAGACCCCAACATCTGGAGCACCAAAGGAATTCAAAACCAGTTGTGTCCAAGCCCCTCTCATCTAGTCCTATTTGACTATAATTTTGCCCAATTATCTGTGGGTTTTTTAAATATTTGGGTTTAATTATTCATATCTCTCACTACCATACTTTATAATCTGTTGAACCTTTATAGGACAATGTACAGGATCTACTAATAGGATTCGAGAAAACTCCCATTCTTTAACTGTTCTTCAGTAGTGTTAACTTTCAAGATGGTTACAGGGCTTTGGCCTCTTATCCTTCCATTGTTAATCTGTTTATGAACAGCAATGTTCATCTGAGGATGGTAGGCAGACAAAAAACTAAAGCACCATATTGGTTTCAGAAATGTTCACCACCAGCTCATTCCAAAATTATAAATTGAGGGACCTTCTTTCCCAGGTGAGTCACAGGCCATCTATGCCTGCCACTATTCCACCAATCAGGACTTTCGACAGGACTTGACACGTGTATTTGGAGATGAAGAACCTGCTGAGAGAGCCATGCCGTTATACGTGAAGACACAGCCCTAGGACTTTCCACCACCCTATAGTATTACTATCTAAGGCTTCATAGGCCTG